TGAGATGGAGTCTCACTCAGTCACCCAGGCTGGAATGCAGTGGCGCAATCTCGGCTCACTGCAAGCTCTGCCTCCCGGGTTCATGCCATTCTCCCGCCTCAGCCTCCCAAGTAGCTGGGAGGTAGCCTAGCTTTCTACTTGAGACCAGAGGACCTACGATAGGGTCCTACAGGCCTGGCTGCACCCCTGTGAGCACCATGGCCCTGGACAACTTAAATCCTCTGAGTCTCGCTTTTCTTACTTCTAAACAGGGGTTAATAATAAAACCTCCTAGGGTTGTCGCGAAGCTCAAACAAAATGAGGTGATGTACAAATGTCCTTGGTATAAAAATTGACAAATCTTACTACAGCCGCAGATGATGGAATACACAAGCCTTTTAGAAATACCAGAAACACTATGTGAATGTAAGTGACTGATACTATCATTGTGCTGCCTTATCCTTGAACCATCTTCCCAAACACTTATGGACACAGCTTGCAACAGCATAAGGCACAAGCTGTGGCCAAGAAGAGCTTTCCCTTGTGGATTTACATGAAGCCACTATCTGAACGACATTTGGAGAATCAGATTCTCTTGTTTATGCTTCTTCCAGAAATAGGAACCCTGACATGATTAGAGGTAGGTGAGAGCTTTAAGTTCCCTTCCCCACAGGCCAGGCACGGTGGCTCATGCCTGTCATCCCAGCACTATGGGAGGCTGAGGTGGGTGGATCACCTGAGGTCAAGAGTTCAAGACCAGCCTGACCAACATGGTGAAACCCCATCTCTATTAAAAATACAAAAATTGGGCCAAGTACAGTGGCTCACGCCTATAATCCCAGCACTTTGGGAGGCCGAGGGAGGTGAACCACAAGGTCAGGAGTTTGAGACCAGCTTCCCCAATATGGTGAAACCCCGTCTCTACTAAAAATACAAAAATTAGCTGGGTGTGGTAGAATGGGAGGCTGGGGCAGGAGAATTGCTTGAACCTGGGACGCGGAGGTTGCAGTGAGTCAAGATCGCACCACTGCTCTCCAGCCTGGGCGACAGACTGAGACTCTGTCTCACAAAAAAAAAAAAAAAAAAAAAAATTAGCTGGGCATGGTTGCTGGCACCTGTGATCCCAGCTACTCGGGAGGCTGAGGCAGGAGAATTGCTTGAACCCGGGTGGCACAAGTTGCAGTGAGCCGAGATTTCACCATTGCACTCCAGCATGGGTGACAGAGTAAGACTCCGTCTCAAAAAAAAAAAAAAAGAAGAAGAAGCAAAAGTTTTCTTCCCCACATCCTCACTGCCAGGTGACCTTTAAAATGGAAACAGGTCTTAGGATAACTCTGTCACCGCAGAAACATTTCTTAGCAAGCAGTCACAAATGCGATCACACACTACTGTTCTTATTATTTCTAATACACTTTCTGCTGATTAAGGGACCCTCCAGTGCAGGTTCTGATGGCAATATTTGAAAGCCCTTATTCCAGTCACTGCTGGATCCAGACAGATGCATTGCGCTACTCCAGGGATGCCACTCATATTACACACACATCCAACACCTGCCAAAGTTTTCTTGTGTCCATTTGATGTGTTTTGTTTCTGCAGTTAAAAAAAAAAAAAAAAAGAGCCCGGCGCGGTGGCTCACGCCTGTAATCCCAGCACTTTGGGAGGCCGAGGCAGGCGGATCACAAGGTCAGGAGATCGAGACCACGGTGAAACCCCGTCTCTACTAAAAATACAAAAAATTAGCCGGGCGCGGTTGTGGCCACCTGTAGTCCCAGCTACTCAGGAGGCTG